CATGGGCTCAGGAGTCCCCAGGTCTCACCACACTTTGGACCAACCAGCCCTTCCTCTTCTCTCTCTCATCTCCAGATCAACAGGAGTCTATGGAGCAGTACCACCGATTACTGATCCTATAATAGCTCTTCAAATGGTTGTACACTGATTATTTCTTTTTGATACAGCGACTCTGTATCTTCCTTTGATGCTTTATGCAATGCTCAATATTTTACTCATGGAACCTTTCAATATTGTAAGTTGAGGCTTGATTTTTAATTCAGTTCTTTCAGCTTGAGAAATACTGAGTGTGTTCTTCCCTTTCGGTTTTCTAACTCCATGTCTACACATTTCATTATAATACTTGACTTGGCCTTCTTGAACAGCTCCTTTGAAATTTTCAGTTCAACTTTTTTACTTCCTCATTTCTTCCAGTTGCTCTAACTTCTCTACACTTAAAAGCAAGTTTCAATCTCTTCTGACATCCATTTTTTGTCTTATCTTTCCTTCTTGTTTTTAGTGATCTTTTGTTTTCTTCCTGTATGATACTCTTGATGTCATATCTCACCTCTTATGGTAATTAGTGTCTAATGCATCAAAACTGTTTTTGAGATGGTCTCTAAATTTAGGTGGGATATATTCAAAGGCATACTTTGACTCCCAGGGTCTTACTTTCATTTTCTTCGACTTTTGCCTGAACTTGCATATAATCCATTGATAGTCTGTTCTGCAAAGTGTTGGATGAGAATATTGAAGGTGCCATGGACTACCAAGAGAACCAACAGATCCGTTCTGGAAGAAGTGTAGCCTGAGTATCCCTTGGAGGCCAAGATGGCCAAACTTCATCTCTCCTACTTTGGACATGTTGTCGGGAGGCACCAGTCACTGAAGAAGGATATCATGTTTGGTAAGGTGGAGGGTAGGAGAAAAAGAGGAAGACCCCCAATGAGACGGATTGGCCAAGTGGCAGCATCGATGGACTCAAGCATGGCAACAGTAGTGAGGTTGGCCCAGGATAGGGCAGTTTTTCATTCTGCTGTGCATAAGGTCTCTATGAGTCGGTACCGACTTGATGGCACCTAAAAACAACAACAAGCTTGTTTTGACTGATAATATTATTAGGCTTCTTCATTTTCTCTTTTCACAGATGTAGTCAATTTGGTTCTTGTATAATTCATCTAGAGAGGTCCACATGTCTAGTCACTGTTCATGTTGTTTACAAAATGTATTTGCAATGAATAAGTTTTGGTCTTGCAAAATTCTATCATGAACCTCCAGTATTATTTCTATCACTAAGGCCATATTTTTCCTTCCTATTTGTTTCCAACTTTTGCATTCCAATCACCAGTAATTATCAATGCATCTTGATTGCATGTCTAAACAATTTCAGACTGCAAAAGTTGATAGAAATGTTCAAATTATTCATCACTAGCATCAGTGGTTGTTACATAAATTTGAATATTGTTGGCATTATCTGGTTTTTCTTAAAGGCATAGAGATATTATCTTGCCACAGACAGCATTGTACTTCAAGACAGATCTTGAAATGTTATTTTTCATGATGAATATGACACCATTTCTTTTCAATTTGTTATTCCCTGCATAGTAAACCATATGATTGTGTCAATCAAAACTGTCAACACCAATCCATTTCAGCACACTAATGCTTAGGATATTGATCTTTATGCATTCCATTTCCTTTTTGACAACTTCCAATTTTCCTAGATTCATACTATGTACTTTCTATGTTTTCTTTATTAATTGATATTTGCAACTATTTATTCTCATTTTGCGTTGTGCCCCATCAGCAAATGAAGGTCCAGAAAGCTTTGCCTTACTCACATCATTATGGTCAACTCTACTTTGAGGAAGCAGCTCTTTCCTAGTTGTATTTTGAGTGCTTTCCTACCTGAGGGGTTCATCTTCCAGCACTTTATCTGACAATGTTCTTCTATTCATAATGTTTCCATATTCTGGTGCTGTTTCCAACAATGTTCCACTCCTATTCATAAGGTTTCAGTGACTCACCAAACAGAAGTAGTCCACCTCTGTGTCCTAGTCTGTCATAGTCTGGAAGCTCTACTGAAACCTGTCCACCATGGGTGATCCTACTATTACTTTAAACAACGGTAGCATAGCTTCCAGAATCACAGCAACATGCAGGACATCACAGTATAACAAAATGGTAGGTGAGTGTTAGAAGTACTTATTTTGCATTCTGTATTTGAGCACTACAATATATGAAGCATTTATGTCTGCTTCCGCTCTTTTTGCTTTTGCTAACTAATGCTTATGCTATCTTTTCCCTCTTGAATGGTTATTACCATTTTAATGTGACGCTGTATTCCCTTGAACTGTATCTTAACATATTGCAAAAATCATGTAGAGGCCGTGTCTGAGTTCTCTGACATCACAAGGAGGAAGGAGAATCAAACTAAAAACCAGTCTAAGGCAACTTCCTATGAAGCAGAAGTCACATATGCCTCCACCCTACAACCTTCTTAATCCTAGTCTGACTCCAATCATCCTTCCCACAGCGCTCTTCTTCACATCTGGGCTAGATAGATAATCCATTTAAATGGCCCCACTGAGCAGAACAACACTCATGATTATGGGTTTTATTAAGGAAGTAAATAGTATAATTCAGGCTCAGAAATAACTCGGGATGCAGCAGTTTTCCAGTGATGAACGTGTCTTCCCTGCTGTACTGCAGGAATACCATGCTCTTGTCTTTGGACGCTCAGCTATGTGGCCTTTCAGCCTCTTGCTTGGTCAGTTAAGTGTTACAAAGTTATTTTGAAAAGTCTGTAAATGCCCAAAGGGCTCATTCTGCAAGACAGCCTCCTGCCCATGGGCACTCAACTTTACACAGTCCATGAGCCTAGAAGCCCAAAGATACTCTCTGTCTCTTCATGCCGCTGCCTTTGACACCATCTTTGCTGTTGCTGCTTTTCCATGTAAGGATCTCATGCTCTTCTTGCATGATGGTCCTAGGGTCATCTCTTCCTGCTTCTCAGATGGCTCCTTTTAAACATACCATGATGGCAAAACTAACCAGTACCAATGCTAGAGTCTTGTATACCCTATTTAAACAGTCTTAACGAATCATTTGGTGGGAATTAAGATGTTAGATAGAAAAGTCATATCAAGGAAATGCAAGGTACCACAGGTATCTTTGGTGCACTAAGTTGAAAGTGCCTTTCTCCAGGGAAAGTGGACATGCAAGTCTTCAATAAGGACCAGCCTATGGACAAGAATTCTTAGAGGAGACTCTTTTTGTAGTCTATCAAGAACCGAGACTAAGAAAAACATGCTTCCATGCATATATTTTATTTGCATAAATTTGATTATTTTCTTAATTTGTATTTCTCGGAGACTGTAATGTGTGTGGTTTCTGGTTTTATGCAATGTTTTCTGATTCAATTTTCCACACTGACCAGGTTCAAAGCAGAGCCTCCCATTCCTAGAGGGTGCAACTAAGCCACCTAGAACTGCTTGATGTCTAACAAACTGCTTACGCCTCCATTGCCTTATTTCTATCCTTCACTAATGATCAAATATGGTTTCCAGCCTCAAAGAAATCCCCCATATTTTCTTGTAAACTCAGTATTTGTAGTTCTGCTTTTCATGTTATCCAGTAGTTTTGAAAATGCTATGGTTTTAGAATATCTAGTCTCATATATAAGACAAACTGGTGGTATCATGGTTAAGCTTGTGAAACCCATCAACTACTCTTTGGGAAATAGATATGGAAATCTGTTTCTATAAAGAAACTTGACAGTGCAATTCTATTCTGTTCTACAGTGTACCTATGAGTTGGAAACAACTCATTGGTGTGGGTAGTCTGATATAGTCAACGTTCAGTATTTAATTTTAATCTCTTAAGGTTTTAATAATTTCCCTTGATTTAGCTAGTTGACAAAATGGTTCAATGACAAACAGGGGGCTTACTAATTGACCTCTATGTTTATAGATAATGAACATGATATCTGATTTTCTTAAAAACGTAATAAAAAGGAAAAGATGAACCTAATGGGCACCCTGCCTCCCACATGATGGTCTTATTTCAAGACTGTTCAAATGGGTATTGACAGAGAGCTGCAATATACAAAACTAATGAAGGAATCATGAAGAGGAGACATGATTGAGGTCTTATGTTAGCTCTGTGCCAGTGTTCAAAGCTATCTTTCATGAACAAAATGAAGCTTGAATAAATCACAATGTTCTTTGAAAGTTGACCAGATTTCACTTGGAAGATCTTTGATTCCACTTCTTTGACATGGAGAGAGATATGTCAGCAATTACATATAATAAATGTAATTCCTAAAGTTAACTTGGAGTGCTGTTGACACTGCAGGATAAGCACTGGGTTGCTAAGCCCATGGTCAGCGGTACTATTGCTTATCACCTCTCCCTATATTGAGTGTAAATATGTTGAGAAAGGAGCCATGCTATCTTCTTTCTTTATTCATACAGCTAATTCCTATAAATCCCAAATCATCTACTGCCATGGAGTTGACCCCAAATCACAACAAACCTACAGGATAGAGCATAATTGATCACTTAGGGTTCTGAGGCTACATAGTTACAAAATTGTTCTGAGGTAAATGGTTAGTAAGCAGACTGTCTCATCTTTCTCCCTCAAAGCCACTGGTGGGTTCAAACCACCCAGCTTTTGATTAGTGACCCAATGCTTAATCATTTGTGACCAGGAATCAAAACTTAGTTAAAATTTTTTTAACAAAAGTAGTAACAAAAATTTAATCTTAAAGATTTTCCATTATGTGAATGCTCAGCAGGCCACACAAATATGGCTGGAACATTTAAGTTTCTGTACTAAAAGACTGTAGCCATAATATTGCTCTAAGAATAAAGGTAGAATATTGCTAATTTCAAAGACCATAGCCTCCCCCTTGCGAACAATAACAGCTGTGCCCAAATGAAAAAGAAAATTGCAATGATAATACATCTTGTGTTTGGAAAGATCTCATATGATACTGTAAGTTAGAGAATTTGTCTTACCAATTTAAGGTAACCCTCTGCATCTAGAATTAAATTTTCTGGCTTCAGGTCTCTGTAGATAATACCTAGTTGGTGCAGGTAATCAAATGCTTCTGTCACACAAGCTACACAGAACTTGGAAGTGGGTTCATCAAAGCTGCCCCTGCAACGATAACGTGTTCCCTGTTAATTCTATGAATGCTAATCTTCGATATTTTTTGAGGTGCTGATCACAGTACTGATAAGTTGTTAATATAAATGTTTGGCAGAGCATCAACACTAAAAAGGAGAGTACGATGGCACTATAGGATAAGCACTTAACCACATAGCACAAGGTTGGAACTTCAAATCTTCCAATTACTCTGAGGCTTTCTGCTCCTGCGAAGATTTAAAGCCTCAGAAACCCTATACAGGGTCACTATGAGTTAGAACGAACTTGATGGCACTTTCCACCACCAACAAGCACTATAAAGAATTTTATACTTCCAATAAATTAGGTTGTTTGCTAATCATAAAGAGACTAGGGGTCAGAGCACCTGAGGCAAACAAGAATTTTATCACTAAACTAAAAATGTTTACCTCTAAATAATTATTTCTATTAATCACATGTACCATTGAAAAATATGATATGGAGCTCTGGTATCCTAGTGGTTATGAATCGGGCTGCGAACCACAAGATCAGCAGTTCAAAACTACCAGCTGTTCCGCGGGAGAAAGATGAGGCTTTCTGCTCCTGTAAAGATTTACAACCTCGGAAACCCTGTTCAGGGTCTCTATGGGTCGGAACAGACTCCACGGCACATAATAACAACAACAACCATAAGAAAACAAACACATTTATTTGAACATACACGGCAAACTCTGGAGAAAATGCAACTATTTCAACAGAGTCTGAACCTGACTTCTGTAATTTATTGCACAAGTCAAAAAAGACATAAGTGATCATTTTCATTTTTTGCTTGTATGTCATGTAACAATAACCCAACCCATGATGCCGTGATACTTTCCTGTTTGGTACACTGATTTCTGATCATATTGTTGTTGTTAGGTGATGTCCAGTCAGTACCGACTCATGGTGATCTTATGCGGAACAAAACACTGTCTAGTCCTGTGCTAACCTCACAATTATTGCTATGCTTGAGCCCATTACTGCTGCCACTGTGTCAATACATCTTGTTGAGGGTCTTCTCTTTTGCTGACCCTCCACTTTACCAAGCATGATTTCCTTCTCCAGGGAATAGTCCCTCCTGATAACATGTCTGACATATTCAAAACAAAGTGTGACCACCCTGGCTTCTAAGCAAGCAGCATTCTGGCTATACTTCCTCCAACACAGATTTGTTTGTTCTTTTGGTGGTCCATGGTACTTTTAATACCCTCCTACTCTCCACAAATCAAATACATCAATTCTTCTATGGTTTTCCATATTCACTGTCCAGCTTTCACATGCATATGAGATTACTGAAAATACCATGGCTTGGTTCAGGCACACCTTAGTCCTTAAAATTGAATCTTTCCTCTTAAACACTTTAAAGAGGTCTGTGCAGCAGATCTGCTTAATACATTATGTCATTTGATTTCTTGACTGCTGCTTCCATGAGTGCTGATGGTTGATCCAAGAAAAATGAAGTGTTTGACAACTTTGATCTCTTCTCCATTTACATGGATGTTATATGTTGGTGCAGTGTGAGGAATTTTGCTTTCTTTGCATTAAGGTGCAACCCATACAAAGGGCTGTGATCTTAGATCTTCATCAGTGAGTATTTTCAATCCTCTTCAATTTCAGCAAGCAAGGTTGTATCATCTAAATATTGCAGGTTGTCAATAAGTCTTCCTCCAAGCTTGAGGCCATGTTTTTCTCAACATAATCTATCTTCTCAGATTATTTGCTCAGCATAGAGACTGAGTAATTGTGGTGAAATAATAAAACCTTGATGCACACCTGAGCTAATTTTAAACCATTACGTATTTCCTTGTTCTGTTGAAACAACTGCCTTTTGGTTTATGTTTTGGAATGCTCGTTCTCCACAATATTGTCCACAGTTGGTCATGATTCACACAATCAAAAGCTTTTGCACAGTCAATAAAGCACAGCTAAACATCTTTTGGGTATTCTAGGCTTTCAGCCAAGATCCATCTGATGTCATCAATGATACCACATTGTTGTTGTTGTTGTTGTTGTTGTTAGGTGCCATTGAGTCAGTACCAACCCATAGTGACCTTTTGCATAGCAGAATGAAACACTGTCCAATCCTGGGCCAACCTCAGTATTGTTGTCTGCTAGAGTCCATTGATGCTGCCACTTGGCCAATCCATCTCATTGGGGGGTCTTCCTCTTTTTCTCTGACCCTCCACCTTATCAAATATGATATCCTTTTCCATCGACTGCTCCCTCCTGACAATATGTCCAAAGTATGACAGACGAAGTTTAGCCATCCTGGCCTCCAAAGGAGCACTATGGCTGCACTTCTTCCAAAACAGATCTATTGGTTCTTTTGGCAGTCCATGGCACTTTCAATATTCTCCTCCAACACCATAACTCAAAGGCATCAATTCTTCTATGGTCTTCCTTATCCACTGTCCAGCTCTTGCATGCATATGAGGTGACTGAAAATATCATGGCTTGGGTCAGGCACACCTTAGTCCTCAAGCTGACATCTTTGCTCTTCAACACTTTAAAAAAGGTCTTGTGCAGCAAATTTGCTTAATGCAATATGTTGTTTGATCTCTTGTCTACTGATAAGCACTGTGTAACATCTTACACAATGAGTTCTTAAAAAGTGACTCCATGGTTTAAATAAGAGTGTGGTTTAGAAGGAGAAAACTTTGGTTGGAATCCTGCTGCTTTCACTTACTGTGTTATTGGGCAAGTTATTTAAATGTTCCAAATCTCACAATCCATATCCACAAAATGAGTTTCCTATTCACTTCACAGGGGTTTTGAGCATCAAGTACACTGCTTAACAGTTAGCAGCACTTGTTGTTGCTGTTAAGTGTCATCAAGTTGATTCCAACTCACAATGACCCTGTACAGGGTTTCTGAGGCTGTAAAGGTTTGTGGGAGTAGAAACGTTCGTCTTTCTCTGGTGGAGTGACTGATAGGTTCAAATTGCCAGCCTTGTGGTTTCCAGTCAGTGTTTATCATACCGAGCCACAGTGCTATCCTAATAAGTAGGACTTTTCTAAGTAGATTTAGATTTTTCTAAATAGAATTGCTTTTGAAGCAAAGATGGAAGATAACTATGCTTTTCCAACTACCATCAAAGTCTCTTCAATAAGTTCCACCCAACAGGACTATTATTTCTTATTTATCCCCAGGGTTAGGTTCTAAAGACAAGATCATGATGCAAAAATTGGCATTATAGTAGATTTCAAGTTTTGGTTTACTTGGTTATCTTTGGTTTACTTGGTTATCTTTGGTTTACTGCTCATCAGGCACCCTTGTGTGGATAAGGCACCTCTGTGGATATAGTGGGGCAGGCCCCCTTTCCCTATCATGATTTCCCTGCAACTTCCTTCAGAGCCTCCAGGGTTGGGGAAAGTGTTGGTAGTGGTTGGGGATGGCTCTGTCTCCAGAGCATCAGGGGCCAATCACTATCTGACTGCACTTCAGGCTTCTGCACAAACCCCTGCACTTTGTCTCTCTACTACCTTCCCACTCTACTGGTGTCTGGGAAGAGTCTCAGTGGCAGGCTGCTTCCAGGCCTTTGGGCAGAAGTTGTGGAGGTGGCAGAAAGGTCTCCTTGGAAGAAGAGAGTCCTCTACCTGACTTCTGTGGCCCTAGTTGCTGCTTCTTCCTTATGTGACCCAGTCACCCCTGCCTCCTTAGAGCTGTCCATCTGGCCTGCATTCACCATGCAATCAGCCTGGTTACTCCATCCAGTAGTAATACCAATTTCCCTGGGCCTCCATTGACCTTGTTCCCCATCACAAACCTCAGCTCCTCATTAGTGCACAAAATAGATGATAGTAGATGATTTTCTATTGTCATAAATGTGAAATGGTGGATAAAGAGAGAGGCAATAAATGATGATGAGTACGTGTATGTTCCTTACATAACACATTCATCTTATCAGATTCTCAAAAAGCTTCTTACTGCCTTGATGACTGATTCTCAACCATGACAGTACATTCAAATTGGTGAGAAGGACTTTTTCAGAAAAGTCATTTTCTGGATTTCAAACCCAGAAAACTTGAATCATAATCTCTGGAGTTAAGACCCAGCATTTCAACATTAAGACAGTTTTCTGTATGATTATAATATGCAGCTCAGGCGGAGAACCACTGACCCAGGTAATCATGTCTGAATGTATCAGCCTGACATTCATCTCCACAAGCTACACTCAATCTACTTTTCCATTTCCTTTTCTGTTTTCTTTATCTCTACTTAAGGTGCTCTGTTGTATCTACAAGGAGCCTGATAATATCCCAACTTTTCTGCTTCTTCTTATATCAGTTTCTCTTCCTGTCTATTTTGCTAAAATTGTGTATTTTTAGAGTTTAGTTCCATCCTTCCTCTACTGTCAATTTTCTTATTTCTCTCTTCCTCTAAACTTACTATCTAACAACACTCATTTGGCATTCAATTGTAAATTGCCAACTTCTTTTTCAGTATTAATTTTTAACTTAAATAATAACACATTTTTAAATTGCATACATCATATCCCTCCCCAAGCAAGCACCTAAACTTGTCAAAAGTAAAGCTTATATGTTTTACTGTTTTCATACTCAGTAAAGATCTGTGGCTTTGATTGTCCTTCTGTAAAAGTTAACCATTGCAGACATTTTACTCTGGTTTTCAATGAGGCCTTTAGCACACCCCATTTCTTAAAGAACTTGCTAGAAAGAGATATAGAATCAGAAACATCTGGGTGTATCTCCTGATTCTGCTTTGTATTAACCACAGGGAGTTTTTAACACCTAAAAGTGGGATGATCATGATTCCCCTATGGGGTTTTTATGACACTAGTGTAATGAAACCTAAGAAACCCTCATTATTATTTATCAAATGATTGTATTTCCTTATAATCATTTTCTAACAGCTTCCATCATGACTCTTTAAATAATCTTTCAGGTGCTTTTGACCAAGTGTGGTTAGAAAAACTCTTTTTCATTACCTGTCCCTTAAAATACTCCACAGCTCCCCACCTAAGCAGGCCTCCAGAAGCATGTATACATACTTATTGTCCTTGAAAGTACGATACAATCTGTGAAGACAGACAAAAACATGGTCATCATTAGGAATCTAGTTTAAAATTCTCTTAATGTGCTTTAAATACACCATCAATAGCATTTTGAACAATTCTTCCCCATCTTACATACATATCCTAAAACTACATTGGGACTCTCCCCAAGTGTACATTGATCTCTTCTTCTGCCTCCCCTTTGCTTATATTGATCTCATCTCCTTAGACTGCCCCCATTCTCAGGGACTAAATGTCAGCGATCCATTTCTGGCTATCCATTCTTCAAGGTCAAGCTCAACAGCTATTTTCTTGAAATAGCTGCTTGCTGTCCCACCTACCAAATGTACCTTCTTGTTTTCCAAAAACTCTATAATGGAATTCTAACTCCTTTAATTCCTGCCTTGCATAATAGTTATTCTTGCTCCTGTCTTATGTTCACTAGTTGATTTATTTATGCTGAATTCCCCTGGAAACAGAGAATTCTAGGCAGTAAATTTAGTACAGAATACACTGAGAACAACACCCATGAGGGAGGAAGGAGGCAAGTTTGGGCACTGGAAGAGTTAGGCTGTGAACTACTTGCAAAGAAAGTGTTAACCTCAAGTCTCTGCTGGGACACCCTTCACCTGCTCAGCCAATCATTTAAGCAGTATATCCATGGAAAGAGGGCAAAGCCTTGGGTGGAATGGTTCTCTTTGGCTAAGAGCAATGACCAGAAACAGACTAAGCTCCAGCCCTCAGCTGGTGGCATTCCCCAAAACTGGGGGAATGTCAAACTCAATCATGAAGGAGGACTGGATGAAGCAGCCCATTTCAGCATTAGGTAAAATCAGCTCCTGGGTCTTAATGATGGAGGCCCTGCCACTCCCTTCCACCATAGCCAAGCTAAATACAGTAAAGCAGCCACATCATGATAGAAGAGGCAATCTAGTGAAATGCTTAGAGAGGAGGCTCTGGAACCAAGCTGCCCGAGCTTGAATTCTAGATCAGAAACTTATTAGCAAAGTACTTTCTGTTTTCTTATGGTATCATGAGGACAATCCTAACTTTACTGGTGTACGAGGAGGATTAAATGAATGACTGAATGAATAGTTTAGAAGAGTGCCAACTCCAGTATAGACCCCACACTCCAGGAGTTCTGAGCCACATGATAGGAAGCCACACCAGTGGGAGGCAGGGGCCAGCCAGACCACTTTGGTGTGCCACTTTTGGTGCCTGGCTTAAGGTGGGCTTGGCTCCAGACCTCCAGAACCCACAGAGTCACTATACAAATATTTAACCAGTCACCATGCCCCCAGATGCCCTGTGATCCTAAAAGACATTGAAACCAGGTCCATCAATGGCTTTCACTAATTAATAACAAGTTTAACAGGAACTCCATTTAGGGCCAAGCACTCTGTTGTTACATTCCTTGTGAGCTCTGTGGCTTGCAGGATCTGCTCCCCCCTCCTTCCCCCCCCTCCCACCCCCATAGTTCTCTCCTCTCAGGATCCAACAGCTGCAATTTTTGTTTGTTTGGATTTGTGAGTTTTTTGGGTTTTTTTTTCTTTTGTTTTTTTCATTGTTTTTATTTGTTTATTCTTTTTTTCCTTCTACTCTTTCCATTCCCTTGAATTTTATCCTTTCTATCTTTGCTTTTGTTTTTCCTTCTTTTTTTTTTCTCATGTCCCCTCATATTTTTTTCTCTTTTGATCTTTCTTTGCTACTTTCTATGTTTTCTTTCTCATTTCATCTTCCCTCTACCTAGCTTTTCTAAGTGTTTTTTGTTTTGTTTTTTAAATTGTCCTTTTTTTTCTCTCTCTCTCTTCTTACTTTTTTCATCTATAGCTCCATTTCCCTGTCCTTTTTTTACGGCATAGTTACTATTTTCTTTTAATGTTGTTACCTGTTTCTATTCTTTTCTCTTTTCATTGTTAGTTACTTGTTTGTTTATTCAATTTGTGTGTGTGGGGGGGGGGGAAGTTTTCTCTTTCCCACCGGCAGGAGATAGCAAGCTTTCCTATATAACCCAGTCACAACCAGACCCTCTGTAAATCTACCCATAATGGGCAAGAGTCAATATCACCTGATCAATGATAGACAACAGCTAACACCAGCCAAACCCACCCTAAACTGAAGTACATGGACAGCAAATAAGAATGATAATACACACTTCCATTCTCTAGCTACACCAACAAGAGACAATTGAGAGCCTAAGAACACATCAATATACAATCATTAACTAAATAAAAATATGCCAATACCACAATATCCCAGAGACAACAGACAATTTTAGCCCACATGAAGAAAGAAGAGAGAATGGCTTAAGCAAATGACCAAGTTGCAGAGCAAGAAAACATTTCTGAGGATGACAAGGTAATAGAAATAACTGAAAAATAATTTTAAAGAATGATGTTTAAATGTCTTCAAAGGATTGACAGAAAGATAGAAGAAAGCAATGAATACACAAAAAAACTTTACACGAATTCAGGAAAACACTAAAAGAACAAACAGACAAAATGAATACAAATTTTGAAACATTACAAAACCTGAAAATAGAAATCCAAAAGATTAACACTAAGATTTCAGAGATGGACAATATATTAAAAGTACAGAGGCGTAGATTCAATGCAGTATAAATCTGAATTAGTGAGCTTGAAGATAAATCTCTCAATACTAGTATGCTAGAAGAACAATCAGAAACTGAAATGAAAAAATCCGAAGAAAGCCTAAGAGTTATGTGGGAAGCCATGACTTCCAGAACAAGAAGAAACAATAACAACCACTGAGAAAATTGCCAAAGAGTTGTTGGAAGAAAACTTCCTTAACATCATGAAAGACTAGAAGATAAGCATCCAAGAAGCTGGATGAATCCTCAAACAGTATAGACCTTAAAAGAAAATCATCAACACATACCATAATCAAAATTTCCAAAACTAAAGACAAGGAAAGAATCTTGAGAACAGCTCAGGAATTGTAAAAATTACCCACAGAGAAGAATCTATAAAACTAAGCTCTGATTTCTCAGCAGAAACCAGGCAGGCAAGAAGGCAATGAAACAACATATATAAAACTCAGAAAGAAAAAAA